ATAGGCGTCAGGGTCCAGATTTAACCCATGACCTCCTGTATACCAGGCAAGCTAGTTAAAATTTCGCCACCATGGCGCCCAATATTTGCCCATCTCCTCTGAAGTGTGTTAGAGGATTCTAGATTTGAAGCTTTCGTGACTGCAAGGATTCTGCACAGCTGATGTATATCTGCACAGCTGATGTATGTATGTTGAACTTCTTTCGCACCGCTGCCAACCGCCCTAATCGAAGGTGGGGGGGAAAGGACAACAAACTAAACACAAAAACAACAGCTCTAAAGAGTGCAGCGCCAAATTAAATACTCACTACAATGACAATAGTTTAAGGCGCCCTTTTCCCCCCTTCCAACCCAGCTTATATATATGCTACAAGCGCGTGTGCTGTTTCATTCAGACGCTGTCGCTTCGACAGACCTGGTTTTCACCTGATGACGGCTGCTTGCGTTGTGGCCGAAACGTCGTGAGAATTATTTTATTATGTTTTATTTTTATTATTTTATTACTTTCCTTCTACGTGACTTTACCGAAAGAACCAAGAGGACGATTTGAAGCGTGTTTTATTTTTATTTGGGGGGGGGGGGGGGGGGGGGGACAGAGCTTTGTGACGTCATATTTGAGGGGGGTCTGACTTTTTGTGACGTCGTGTGACGATGAAGGAGGGGTAAAAAAATCGTCCTAAATCGCGTGACGTCATTTATGGACGGCCCCTAAGTTGATTGAGTTGATCTGACTTCCGCCTAAGGTGATATAATGGACTGCATGAAGGAATGACGAATGTATAATGTGGCTGCAGTTGTACTGCACAACGTGTCCGTGTTGTTTACGCTCCGACGTGTGTCTGCGGTCAAGTGGTCACTGAGTCACTGACCTTCGACGAGTAGGAGCAGCTATTAATAGAATCAGCGTGCACGTAAAAAGACGTGAATGCGCACAGTTAATCCGCAAATTTCCCACAGACAATGGTGCGTTAAGTGTATCCCAATGTAATATGAGACGCGGGGTTTTTGTTGTAGAAGTATGTGCATTTTATGTGATTACTGATAATGTTCGCGACAGTAGCATTTAATGTCTTGTAAATTGCACATTATAAATACAATTGTGGCAAACTTTAGCTCCAAAGCAGAAAATTAGTATTCCTAATTATCATTAAAGATAGAGATATACGTGTGTGATTAACAGTTAAAGAAGAGCATATCCTGCACCCTTTCTTTTTGTAACCAGTATTGACATGCCCCGCGTGGCTATTTTGTAAACAATCTTTCATCATTAAAATTTGTTGTGGAAGAATGTAAATTTTAGCACATTTAAGATGCAGTGTTGGGCCCACCATTTTTATTTTTTTTTAGTTGCATGACGAGTTCATAAAAAAAAACTCAGAAAATCATGATGGATAAATCCGGCCGAATCAGAAGTAAAAATAACCACAGTTAAAACTGGGACAAATATGTATAGTTCCTGATTTTTTTTTTACACATGCAATTCAGAAGCAATAAATAAGAACAAGTATAAATCACAATTCTGATTATGTAAGTGGGGTACTTTGTCTCTATTTTAATGTGTGCGTGTACTCGTGTTTGGAAATGTAAAGTCACATTGGACAAAAATCCTGACATTGCATAACTCAAATTTTCACAATGCATGTATTAAAATTACAAACGATTGTACACAATTCTTACATAATATATATAGAAACCTCCATTCGATATCTATAAATAAAAATTACTTAAAAGCATATGCATTTGTTTTACAAACAGCCTATTGTCATTCCTGACTTATTTTCACCATTTGCACAACACGTGGCTATGCTGCTGATGAGATCCCAAATATAGAATCCAGTCCAGAGCTGTGCTTGTTGAAACAAACGCTGATCTTTAACATACATCTGGACATTCAGAGTTATTATTTTTGGAACTCGGCTATTAAAAGTTATACGCTATATAATTGGAAGCATATTTGACAGTTTTGCCAGTGTGATCAGCCCTGAGCCAGTAGGTATGGACCCAAGGGTTCGACTCCCACCACAGACCTGTAATGTCTAGAGAAGATAATGTTGTCTGTTGTATAGTGGTCATTAAAGACACCACTGATTTTTGGAAAATACAGACAGTATGCTGCCATGGTGTAATGGATAGCACGCTGGACATGTAATCTCGAGGTCACCGATCAGATCTTCCAGCACGGAAGCTTAACAAATATGGCAGGTTTATTAAATCCCCCACCTCTGTCGAGCGGTATAAACGGGTAAACGGCAGTTAGCCGACGGCAGGTCACGTGTGGTGGGGTAAAGTGTGAAAAAATCAAGATTGAAAGTGTGAAAACTTTTACCTTTTCCAAGATGTCTAACCAGCATGGAAGAATAAATCAAAATATCTTCAAGAGCTCCCTCTAGCAGTGGAGTGAGCACAAGAAACAGCAGGGTGCACCTTGACATGTGTACCTTTTAGGTATTGTGAAATAATATCATACCCCCCCCCCCCAAATTTGAAAATAAAAACTGTACCTTTGAAGTTACATTTTACAGGGCGTTCTCATGGTTAAACAACGGACATAAAATAGACATTTGGTTTTGTTATGGAAAGTGTTGCCGCATCACAAATCAAATGAAATTTAAGAGAAATGGGTCTCACCTTGCTGAGAAAATACAATATACCGTGAGGTTTTTTTTTTGGGGGGGGGGTCCTGGCTGACCTTCCACAGAGATCATTTACTATGCACACTCAATGCGTCACATTCCATCCCAAGGTTACATGGTTTAAACACATTTTACCTGCACATATCATCGAGCTGAAACGAGGCATGCAGGCTTCCATATTAAACATTATTTGCCTACGCCCTTACCCACGTGTTGATTTGTTTTACAACGGCTCACTCATTGACGCATCACAAATAATTAGAGCATGTGTCGTGAACGGTACCGGTGGTCGTAGATTCCAGTGCAACGGCGATGAATGTTGGCCATTCACACGGAGCTGAATGACGTCTGTGTGAAAGACACCTCTCTTCGTTAGTAACGTCCACTAGGAGGCAGTAGAGCAAGTAGGTTCCTGACGTGCATGTCCTCTCCATCCCCATGAAGCCGTGGTGGTTTTTCTGGGTGCTCTCTCTATATAGTTTGTTTTTGACCCAAGAAAACCTCACAGTCTCAATATTCGTTTTCACTAGCCTCCTGTCAAGTTTCGCAACAGGAGGCGATGTTGCTTTGTGTAATCCCGGCAATTTTGCAGTACGCACTGGGATGTCTTTTTTCTTCCGATACCGGTTTCATTGTATGTTCTTTTTTAATATAGTAGTCGTCGTGGATAAACTGGCTTCCAACATAGGAATGTGGAATTTACACCATTTGTTTTAGACCATGAACAAATGCTCATTTGCACGAGCATTGTACTGTACTGTCACCTAAATTTAGTATTGAACATGCATTACAAACAACCATGGTCAATTAGATATTATCCACATATTCACTCAGCTTTTGGAATAAACTACAGATGCTGGTGTTTTGAGATAAAAAGTAGTTCGAAATCGATAGAAATGTAAAAAAAAATGTTTTACAGTATACCATGTTTAAAGCTCGGATAACAATTTACTGTACATCTTATTTTATCGCATAGATGCTTTTTATGTGCCATTCAGTAATAAAGGACAAATGTTTTTTGTTTACGTATCAAAGTTAATTTATTTATTTTCGAATTGTGACCGTGCTCGGTTTACAATTGGCATCTTATTTTATAATAAGTCCGCTTCATTCAAAAATGTGTTCTTAAAAGGCGTACGGATAAGCTATAAATTTAATAAGGCCAAAGTACACCTAATCAACAATGTATCCCATTCTAGAGCAGGACACATTCATATTGTGTATGCCTTCGAATGCAGCCAACAATAATCTGATTTAATTGTGCACATTACTTTTGCTTCTCAAATTACTACAGAAGGTTGGCAGGAACGGCGGACCCCACATGAGTGGGACAAACGCGTGGAAGAAGAAGAAGACGTCTTACAATTACTTACAGAGCAAACACATACTAATTAAATGATTACTAATCTATTATATAATTGCAATAACCCCCGCCCCTCCCATGCCTCTAATTTCTGCACCTGATGGGTTCAGTGATGACGTCGCCCAGCTCTATTTAAGACCGGAAGCAGGTCGATGGCTTCACGATTCTGGCAAATCGCCTGATGATGCTGGTTCATGTAATTACCAGCGAAACGTCGTACTACTCAAATTGTAAATGTCGTGGATTTACTCTCCAACACACCGGTGGGCTGAATGAGTCAACTAATTGGCGCGTTGTTTACGTGACAAACCTTCCTGGTTGTGTCGGGTGGTGGAGGGGTTAAGACACATTTATACTTACGCGATCTAACCCAAAAACCTTTCGATTTTAAGCTTTCTTGATTCGGTAAAGTTACGTAGAAGGGAAATAATAACACAGGGCTGTCGGAAAGACAGCCCTGTTCTTCGCCCGAGGACGGCTGCTTGCGTTGTGGCCGAAACGTCGTGAGAATTGTATTTGATTATGTTTTATTTTTATTATTTTATTATTTCCCTTCTACGTGACTTTACCGAAAGAACCAAGAAGACCAAAAACCTTTATTATGAGCTTCATTCACGTTTAAACAAAATAAAACGTGGAAAATAGACTGGGTATTTTAAACGGAATTGTTCGGTACCTTTTTTTTAATGGTCCCATACAAAACTACAGCCGAATATCCAATTATAATTGGCAACTCGCTGAATGCATTTTATTCGTGATTTGTTTTTTTCTCTTCTCACTTACATTAGGCAGAGCAGCCAATCCCCCTGCCTTAATCCTTTCCTTACTCCCCCCTCTCTCTCTCTCTCAGCGCATGTCAACACTCACTCACCCCCCCAAAATCCCACCCACCCCGTTCAGAGCAGTCACTGCGGTGGGCAGCCCACAGTCACGGTCACCCCCAGCCCTGCCTCTTTCTGCCGAGCTCATAAATAAAATGCGCAGTCGCGGCAGAACATGAGCGGAAGCTCTCCCGCCGCGTCCGAGGGTCTCAGGCGCACATGTTTAGCACAAAGGCAAAGTATTGCCATTGTACCCGCATCTCGGCAACCCTGCGCACTGCTCTGTCCATCATCAATGCCAGTCGAAGGTGTGAAGATTTCAGAAGAGCCGTGCGGAGAGAAGCCTTGAGGGAGATAAAGTTGCCTTCGCCTGCTGCTGCTGCTGCTGTGTATAGATGTGTTTATAACTAAAAAGGACACAAGGTGTGTTTTTTTTTGGGTGGAGGTAGCTATGTAGAGGAGCAAGCTGTTTCTGCACGGTGGTATTTGTATTTGAAGTGCGCGCGTGCTGTTTTGTAAAGGGGGGCTCTGTCCGATTGATTCCGTTGCTGCTGCAATAGCCCACGAGATTGTGGTGGGTCAGTGTCTGCTGCTACAGCATTGCTAACACGGGATCATTAATTGCGTTTGTACTGCAGCCGTCACGCTGTGTAGCTACGGATGATATTCGTGTCAATGTAATGTGCAACGTCATGTAATCTGCCTTTAAAACGTGTGCAACTTTACCGTTTAAGCGATCGAGAAATAGAATTGTCCTAAATTATGTTTGTCAATTGTGGTACAGCACAAGTGTAGCGGGGCATTGCGCGTCAATATATGGTCCAATAGTATAAGGAAAGCTTGTGCTTTTATAGTCCGTGGCTTTGCGTATGATTCGAATATAAAGCGCTCATGATTGAAATGTTTCAGGAAAACGCGTGAGTCGTATTGTGCTTGCCACTGTGCAATAGTTAGAAAAGAGTTTTCACATTCTCGGGTTATATCTAATACGCGTGCATTTATTAACCAAACGTCTATGGCAGTACAATGTATGTGAACACTGTTATGAGCCTCGGGCAGTGGATAAAATCAGCCCACGAGCTCTAGGAGAGGTTGTATACTTGCGAGCAGCACATAGCCGCACAGTGCTCGCTGCCTGCTGTTTTGCACGGATATAGTCTTGCCTAGCCGCGAAGTCTATACACAGCTGGACAGATGTAGAGTATAATAGTCATCTGTTACATGCGTTGTTGGCTTATGTGTAAGCGTACTGGCTGTAAATTATTCTTTCTGGCCCCTCGAGTAGGATTACTCCGCTGGGTTGTTTTATTGGAGTAATATACTGTCGATCAAACTTTAGCTATTGTAGTTCATATATTGTTAATAGGTCATAGATTCCGAACATATTGAGCAGAACGGACAGGCTACGTTGCACGTGCAACGCCACGTGACGCTGGACTACCCAAAAGTCCCGAGCAGCTAAAGAGGATAGGGCTCATGATTGAGATTAGTGTGCATCTGTGCGCACGCTGTATACAGAAAAGTACAATAGCGTAGCAGCCAAGCGGGTGAAATGTAGTGAAGAATTCTCAAACTCTTACAATCCATCAACCGATCATCACGGTGAAGATCGCGGCCATGGGGTGCCCCCCTGTCATCCGTGATGCCCGCACCGCGCAGGTGAGTTGAGATGCACTGTCACGGTTCTGTGTGTGTGTGGATGTGGACACCCTAGGGAGCGGTGGCATAGTGGTTTGCGTGCTGCGCTACGAACTCTGCGATCCGAGTTCGATTCCCGCTCATGGCCACCACCAGTGACAAAGTGTCTGGACCTGTCCTGGGCCTTCCATATGTCGACTTGAACTCAAATGAGTACCTGGTGCGATGTGTAAACATCCCCACTGGGGAGACAAAGGCGGCTGGACATGGCCACCTACCCACTTCATGTGCAGTGTCGGCCTTCATAGGTGCTCGCTAGCAGCACTTGCCACAAAGATATGTTAAGGTTAAAGGGGGGGGATCTTTGTCTTTGTGTGAACGCTATTGCTGTGGTGGTGTTCTTTGGAGCATGCCCAACGAAAGCAAATGTTTAATTGGTCTCATTTTGCAATCGATTAAGCAATATCAAGTATGGTAAGTTAATTAAAAGTTGCATTGTGTACGTTTTTGAGCGACGTGAATTTAACTACTCTACTCTATATCTCTTAACGTGTCGTGGTTTCCCTTCCATGTAGCCCTGTCCATGATGTTTATTCAAGAGCTTTGCATTAGATACCCCTCCCAGTTGCATCCAATTGTTCAAATTGCTTCTGTACTTAATTCGCTGCCTTCCCCGGCTTCTTGTTCCTCTAATTTTTCCAGTCAGAGCATTGCCTTCAGTCTCACTACATGTCGAAGAATTCTAATGTTTCTCTGTATATAATTGTTATTAATGTTCTTTTGTAGCTACTTTCCAGAATACATTTACGTGCTCACCTTGTCTATCCATGAACTATATATCAGCAGAGGTCAGTTAAATATCTCTCCACATGCAAATACAATTCGTATGTATAGGACAACAAACTAAGAGTTCTAAACAAAATTCGTTTTCAATCAAGACTTAAAAGTGCATGGCTTCAGGGGCTTCCTAATATCGAGAGAAAGGAGCTTTCCAGACGGCCGCAGAAGCGCATCTGAAATCAGGCGATGGATCCAGTGACCGTCTTTGTTTAAAAGCCCAGTCAAAGGCCCCTGCGTGATTATATCAGTCCATCGGCCTATTGTCCTATCAGAACAATATCATCCAGCAACATTTTTCTTAAGCAGGAAAACTATGGACCGGTTTCGACATTCTGGGTCTCATCAGCAAGGCATAATGAAACTGCGTTGAGCATATCGTGAGACCTCTTTTGCCAGTATCAAAGTATAGGTTTTACCCTTTCTGGCGAAAAAATATCTTCAAACGCCACGTACCATCACTGTGGCCTGCATTGACCACACGTATTAGTATTGTGGTCTGCATTGAGCACACGTATTAGTATTGTGGTCTGCATTGGGCACACGTATTAGTATTGTGGTCTGCATTGAGCACACGTATTAGTATTGTGGTCTGCATTGACCAAACATAATAGTACTGTGGTCTGCATTAAGCACACGTACTAGTGCGTACACCACGCGGTGTTTGAACATCTTAACACCTAAATTTCGATTTAAAGCTTTCGTGACTGCAGGGATTCATCTTCTTGGTTCTTTCGGTAAAGTCACGTAGAAGGGAAATAATAAAATAAAATAAACATAATAAAATAATTCTCACGACGTTTTAACACCTGTTTCATTGCCAGGAAGGGTGAAACCCATTCTTTTAACGTGCTGAGCATGCATGCATTCAGGCTTTGGTATCCCAACCCCACCATTCCCACTCGTCCACCCACATTCCCACTTGTAACGGTCACGCAGCGGGCGTTAGAACTTCAGCGGCCGTGAGCGGAGAGCCGCCACGTGCCCCCCTGCTGGACGCGTTCCGCTACTACGCCGTTCTGGCGTCCAGCGGTGACGGATCAAACTCGCGCACAATTAAATACCCCCCCCAACCACCACAACCACCACCATCACAACAACCACCAAAAAAAAGTGAACGCACCTCGTTCAATAACTCTACATTTTTTGTGTTTGTTAAAGGGAGATAAATATATAGCAGGCGATGGCCCAATGATAGCGCGCATAAAGAAGGGTCGTTGAGTAATACAATAATAAACATAAAACAGACCTGGTTTCACCTGAGGACGGCTGCTTGCGTTGTGGCCGAAACGTCGTGAGAATTATTTTATTATGTTTTATTTTTATTATTTTATTACTTCCCTTCTACGTGACTTTACCGAAAGAACCAAGAAGAGGGGTCGTTGACTGAAACGTCGCCTATTATATGTGTGTTCTTCCCTTTTTGACGTCACAGTTGTTGTTGTTGTTGTTGCTGTTGACGAATGTGTCGAGTTTGTTGTTGTTATTTGTGCTCTGGCGTCACTGCGAACGAACGCAGTGACGCCATACAATGTGTGCTCAGACGCAAATGTGACAGTTGTTTGTGATGCTATGCGATGCAGTGCAATGCAACAGCATCGTATGTTACTGCATTTTGCCTATGTTTCACTCATTAATGAAATATACGTTGCAATTACATTGTTTCGTGGGCGTATGCGTTTTACATACACGCACGCGCATACATTATGCACGGGAGTACAAACCAGGGTTGTTAAAATCGGTGCACAAAAAAATAGCAAAACCGGTAACCCCGTGGAAGAAACGGTTAACGGTTTGCTATAGGTAGAAGAATGAGCACTTTTTGTTTTACTGAGAAACGAAGGTAGGCTGCTGCATACATGTCACGTTGCATGCATTCTGTATGTCCTACAGCACAAGTCAGTGTGTCTTGCACACAACGTGTTTATATGTTCTGGCTTTAGTTTCAAGGGCAGTACAAGCATACTCTTTGTATACACGCCAGACGCTGCCACAATGTTTTTTTTGTATTGAAACGCACTCAAATCAATCCTCTGCTTTAAGTTGAAGGCTTCCTCCTACGGGCTTGTTTAAACCATACTTCACCACGCCGGTCTGTGCGGGTTGGTGAGGTGGCGCGTCCCTCGCACCTGTTCAGATGACCTTCACCACAGCCGTGGAATCAAACTCGTGTGTGTAACCGGGTTCACAGCGCAGCGTGCGCTAACCGCTGCGCCACCGCTCCTCCGCAATGTGGATTTTTTTTTATAGCGTAATAGCATGTGCTGACTGTGCTTGTACTCTTTATACTAAAAGAGACGGTGACACCAGGTCTAATGCTCGAGTAGATTTCCACTATTGTGCCCGAATGGTGTCAGCGATATGTGCATTGATGTTTGGAGTTAATGTGCTCAAAATGAATACGTGTGCATAGGCTATTGTGTTACATAGTACTCTCTGACTCTCAAGCCAGCCGAGTGTATACATAATCGTGAAGTGTGTGTATATGTACACGTTCGCGCGAAGCGTACATCATATGACCGTGCACTGAAATAGGATATATTATGCACAGTGGTAAATATTTCATCGACGCGAACCTTACACGTGGCATGGAATGCACTCATGAATGGTATCGGGCAAGCATTTCCAATTCAGGACCTTCCATACTGACAGTCTGCATAGTCGGCGAGGCTGTTATGAAGTGAACCTGGCCACCTGAGTTTGATTCCTCCCCCCACCCTCCTCAGCTATATAAACCCTTGTCATAGCCATCTCTTCGGCATACCTCAGCAACTGTTTTCGGTGTGGTGGTCCCCACCTGATGAAGGACGCTTGTGTTGCGCCCGAAACGTCGTGATTTAATTTAGTTGTTTTCATTTTTTGTATTTTTTTTATTTAATTATTATTTTCATCTACGTGACTTTACCGAAATAACCAAAAAGGATGGATCCGTGCAGTCACGAAAACTTCAAATCTAGAAGAAAAAAACACCTAATTTAGATTCCCCACTCCACAACTCGCCGCCCCCCCCAACCACCACCACCCCTTCACCAACTCACACTGACCGGCGTGGTGAAGTATGGTCAAATTGACAATCGTCACACGGTCCTGACACGAATGACACATTGAAGGGACGTGTTCACCCTGCAGTGGATAGACACAGAGCTGAAAATTATACATTACACATCGCATTGCTATTATATATAAGTTAAACGTTAAATATGCAAATGACACATATACATCATTAGTAAGTATAAGCGTGCATTTATGATATCCGTTAAATGTCCGTGCTTTGATTCAATATGCCCGTTACACTATTAAGTATAATCTGTGAGCTATAAATAACTTTAGTTTCTTCCCTCTATCCTTGACGAATCACTGCCATTACCAAATACTGTGCCATGCAGCACCCATGTCAGCTTTTAACTGTGACCTATCAAAACATATCTACAACATTCGTAAAGGGAACTAAATAGAAAACGCAGTATTATAGAGCCCGTGGACTGACGTAAAACTAATCCTCTATCGCTACAACCATGGTTACTGTCTCTGCGAAATTCACGCATTGATTCCTCCAGCCAGACTGTGTTCAACCACCACCAGGTCACAACAACACATTCACTCACCCAATACCAATACCCACCATTCGCGGCGACGTCACAACGGCGCCTGTGCCAGGCCAGGTGCACTTTAAGGCCACGTGAAGTGTCGAAGGCTCGCTGACAGGAGATCACGGGACAGACCCAGGTGCCATGGGTCAGCTGACTGAGACGATTGGTAGATGCACCAGTTGTATCCCCTACTGTGCCAACTTGCTGTATTTTAGCCACCCGGCGCTCCGCTCGTTGTTGTAAGTGTCGCTACTCTTGCCCTCCGTTGTTGTTGGAGGACGACTGCCTCCAACTGCCCAGTAGCGTCCTTCACGAGCCTCCTCCATAGAGGCCGATTTTGACACCGCTGGTACCAGTCGTCGGCAATTCCACTCAGCTCCACGTCCTCCCGTACCGCATCAGTCCATCTCTTCTCCAGCCCATGTCGTGCCCGTTTAGCCCCCTCTATGAGTCCAAACAAAAGATGCTAGGGGAAGCGGTGGCTGGGCAAGTGGGCTACTTGACCCAGCCAACGCAATCTTGTCTGCCGGAGGACCTCATTGATAGGAATGTGTCTAGATCTTTCAAGGATTTGTGAGCTCTTCAAACAATCCA